CTCATCCACTTAGTTCATTCATTCGTTAATAATGATTCATTGTAATTCATTTATTCACTTTATTGAATCATTTAGTTGATCGTTTCAGATGACGAGACACATCTGGACAGCTCATTATGGATAGGGAACGAAGAAAATACTTTGGAAGAGGAAATCTTACCCCTTCCAATCCCTGAACAAGCGGATCGCTTCACAAGCGGTGACGAAGTTCTCACCAAAATTACCCACGGTCATAAACCGGACATCGAAAAGACGCCAAACCCCCTCAACGTCGAGAGCCTTAAGTCCTCAAAATGGTCGGGATACGGTGGTGCCAGCTCGACTAGCGGTAAACCTGGTTCAGAATACCTTGGAGCTTTTGGTGGATCTCATGGTGAATCAACAACTGTTTCCGGAACATCAACTCCACAGTCAAGCCAGTCAAATCTGAGGATATATCAAAAGGCTAGACCTGAAAAGGATGAACTATTAAGCGTTGCATATCCCGGACCGCAGGGTCTAGTAGCCGATAATTGTCCACTGAAATGTGAACCTTGCCTATGTCCAACGGGTAAAGGTTCTGAAAGAAGAAGGCGAAATGCAAACAATGTGGAGTTGTCTGTACCTCTGGGAGCATGCAATGCGAAGAGAGACCGCAAGGTGAGAAAATCTTCTGTAGGAGTTTTTAACGCTACTTTAACGACTTTTCCATCTAAAGTACAAGAATTGAAGGCAACAATTCAAATACATTTGAGCTGGTCTCTTACCTTACTGGGTTACTTTTTCTACTGGCCATCTGTGAAAAGAATGAAACAAACACAGGCATTCGCAGCTAAATTATAGCTCTTAAAAAGTAGCGAGATGCCATTAAGCAGAAAAAGTAAACTGTTCAGATGTAATTACATCACGTTCCGAAACCTACAACAGCAAAAAATGGTTAGATTAATTGAATGTGAGTCTGGGTGAGTGGGTGAGTGAATGAATAATGAGTGAATTTATGAATGAACGAATGACGAATTGGGAATGAATGAGAGTAAAAATGAATATTTTGAACGCTTGAAAGTTGAATGAATGGATAAATAAACCCGTTTCAAAGTTTAGCAAATGTTCTTCTCTTTCATTCTAATTTAAAAAGCT